GATACTATGGGAATGTATTGGTTTAAGTCTTAGACCTTGCTTTATACTTAGTTTTGGCAACAAACATGTAAATGTATTAGTTTTTTTGCCCCCATCTTTACTTTACAAAAATAATAATCTTAGCAATTGCTCCAATCTAAGTTATTAAAAAGACTAAACTATAACAATAATAATTAATATATTTAAAATCCATTTTTAATCTTCCAATTTAACTGGAAGACAAAAGACAACCTCCATTAAGAAAATTGCTATGTTTTTTTATCTTTTTTAAAAGACAGACTTGATTTTAGCAAATTGCTAAGAAATTATTCTTCACAGAGTAATAATTGGAAAGAAAACTTAAATATTTGCATGTGGGAAGACTTAAAAGTATATAGCAAAGAAAAGACTAAATACCAATAAAAAATCTCATATTATCATTTTCTTTGTGATTCCAAAATTAGAATATCAATTTTTTTATAAAGTATAATTTTGTGATGAGTGATTCTAAATACACCATCATATTTTTCTCTACATTTACTTTTTTTTAATAATTTTTTAAGTGATATTACTTATTTACCCATCTCGTTTTAATTTTAAAACTTTTGAATAAACATTTCTGATAAGTTATATAACTTACTGGATTTTCATATCTGATAAATTAAAAAAAGTTACATTTAGGTTTGAAAAAAATAGTTAAAAGAAAATATGTTACAAAAGTATGAGATGCTAATATCGTTTATAAAATTTAAAAACTTTATTAATCATTTGTGAAGAAATCAAAATATATATAAATTATCTCGTATACATGAAATTTGTGAAAGTAGAAGATTATCTTTTTTTTTTTTTGTATGTGAGTTTGTTAGGATTTGAACTTTAAACTATTGAAACTAAAAGTTTAGTATTTTATTAACAGATTACATGGTTATTGGATTATTGAAATTTTAAATTAGAGGATCTCTTTAAAATATATTAATCATAAAAATTTGAAGAAAGAAAAAATGCACACACCATGAAATCTAACAGTACATTAGGAACAAAATCATGAGAAAAAATTATATAATCAACAAATTGATTGGCCAAAAAAATCAACATATTAAAAATCTTTGTTTTATTTTTGTGAAAAGTTTGAAAAAAAAATCTAAAGAACACATTCATTCTCTCACTTCTTAAACTTGTTTATTTTGGAAATTGTGATTTTATAATGGTGGAATAAGAAAGAAAATGATAGATACTATGGTAATGTATTGGTTTAAGTCTTAGTCTTTGCTTTATACTTAGTCTTGGCATCAAGCATGCAAATGTGTCAATCTTTTTGCCCCATCTTTACTTCACAAAAATAACAATATTAGCAATTGTTGTAGTCTAAGTTATTAAAAAGATCAAAATATAACAATAATAATTAATATACTTAAAATTTATTTCTAGTCCATCAATTTAACTAAAAGACAAAAAAAACAACTTCAATTGAGAAAATTGTTGTTTGTTTTGTCTTTTTTAAATGACAGACTTGACTTAAGTAAACTGCTAAGAATATTATTTTTCATAGAGTAATGTTGAGGGTAAAAAGACTTAGATATTTGCTTGATGAGAAGACTTAAAATATAAAGCAAAGAGAAGTCTAAATACCAATAAAAAAAATCTCATACTATCTTTTTCTTTGTGAGTCCAAAATAAAAAAAAAAAAAAAATTTTTTATAAAGTATAATTTTATGATGGATGATTCTAGATACACCATCATTTTTTTTCCCTACATCTGGATATGAAAATTTAGTAATTTATATAACTTATCAAAAATACATATCTAGAAACTTTAAAATTAACAAGTGGATCTCTATAAAGTATAATTTCCATTGATTCAAGGACTTTGAAAAAAAAAATAAAGACAATTTTGAAATCCTAAAGTTTTTCTTTCATCCTATTATTTTCAAATAAATGAAAATTTAGATCCTATTATTTTCAAATAATTGAAAATTTAGGTATCTATTGAATAATACGATCAACGTCTTGACACTTTCGTTGTACTTTCTCAAATCTTATAGATAAGATTCCACCAAGTGAATAATTGCTAATTATTTAAGATGATTAATTATTACATTCTTGAGATTCAACTAAAAAATATAATTTGGATTTCATTTGGTTTGTATGTTTTTTCTTTTCCTATTTGTTTTTGGTTTTCAATTCATTTATTAAAAAATAAAAACCAAAAGCATCAATCAATTAGAGGATTAAAAAGTTAGAAAATTATGTAATCTCTTTCGTTAATTTCTTTTTTTTCAATTAAAAAATTTATTCAGTTTAAAACAATATAAAGTATGAGTGTATTTGATATTATGGATAAAATTTCTAATGTTCTTTTTAGTTTTTTAATTTCGCTGGGGTGTCAAATTTCAATTTATTATGAGTGTATTTTATATTAAAAACTTAAATTTATAATATAAAATTTATATTTTGAGGTTTTAAATATAAAAATGTAATTAAAAAAATCAAAATGATTTTGGAATATAATCGTATGGAAAAATAATAGCATTTTGTGTTCAAAAAAGCGAAGATGGTAATTTTAAAATATTCGAATAGGGAATGATAGATAAAAAAAATGAGATAGTAAGAATATAATTAATTACTAATTAGAAAATGAATTGAAAATAAGGAACAAATAACAAAAAATAAAAAAAACTTAGACGTGATGATTGAAGACATTTGGAAAATATAGAGTCTAATTAGATATTAAAGTTGAAAACTTATTATTTAATTTTGAATAATTTAAATTAAATTTCCTTTTGAACAATTAATGAAAAGAAAAGTTACTATTAATTTCTTGTGTAGCTTGACAATGGGATTGAAACAAAACTATGCATTGAATTGAAGACTAATTCATTAATAGAAAATCCCATTAATTTTTGTTCTATGGAAACACAATCATTTTGTCCCTTTTATATTTGTAATGTTCACGTTTGTAACTTTCACTTATTCATTAATATTAAGGTTCATTATCATTAAAAATAATATTGGTTAATATTTTTATTTGAAGCATTGTAAAGTATAAAATATGAATCTATATATTCTAAGTTCTCACTATTCAAATCAATATTCTTTAACAATATTAAAAACAAAAATAATAAAAAGGACTATATATGTATGATAAATTCAATATTAAATTATTAATATGTTGTTTTGAATTTTCAAAGATTAATAAAATAATTTTGCAAACAATGCTCTAAAAGCACACTCTAAGGTTTTTACATAAAATAATATCTTCATCCAATACATTAAAAATTATATATATGAAAATTATTAGGTATCAACTATTGCATTTAATATAAAATTATTACAATAAATAATATATTAACTAATTTTAGAGAGTGAAAAACTCTTTCACGAATTTGTTTTATCATGTGTATGAATGGGGAAGTAAGAATAATAACAAAGTGAATACCTGTTATTATTTAGGTATTTATATTTAAATCTATTTAATTTTCATGGTATGTGAATCCATTTAAATATTCGATTAAATCACTATCTGAATATGAAACCATTTAAATAAATATCGTCCGTTTCATTTTTGAATCCTTTAAAATATCCAATTAGTTAAGTTTAATTTTTTGCTAAAATATAAATTCTACAAGAATTAAATTTAAATATAAAATTCACTCTTAATTGATAATAAGTAAATGTTGTTTGCTAAGATTCGAAAATAAAATTTTATATAAGTAAAAAGATAATAGATTCAAATAATTGATACTATATGCTTTAAAACTTAAACGGATTCAGGTATCCAAATAGTACTCTCTAAATTCTATCCGAATCTATTAAATATATATTTATAAGTATTTGAATCAGACAAATAGATCAGATAATATATCAAATATTCAATTATTTTCTATCCATCATCATTCCTAAACGGAATATCAAGGGAGAACCAATCAATCAAATCTAATTGAATGGATGGGAATGTGAAGCATTGTCTAAAGCTAAGCTCCTATCTCCCATTATTTCATCCGAGTTGACATCTATATACCAGCAAAACTCAGTTTCAGCACTTTCACTTTGTTAGCTGGATGTTTCTTTCATGCTTTCATCTTTGCCTTCGTTTATAGATTTTCAGGTTAAGTGGGCAGTATTTTTATAACATGTGATGCCATTTTACAACAGGTTTTGCAGCAAAAGAAAAAAAATGCACCAAACGGTATCCATATGACTGAACGATATCCTATTTTCTTAATTATTAATCTAATGTGCTATGATGACTAAACTCTATTACAGACCAATGAATAACGCACAGTATTATAAAGAAATAATTGTTACAGTAATTGTTCTTTTCTCTGAATGCTTATTTAGAAAACAAAAATTGATAAATATGAGGAAGTTGATGGAGGGAACAAAAGGAGATTCAAACTTTGAATCTAAGAAAAATAAGAAGAAACAAACTTATTAGTTAAAATTTTCAAAAAAAAATTATTCCATCTAATTCTATAATATCAGAGTTGAGTTGACTGATAAATCTTTATAAGTTTTACTTTTCTTTAAACATCAAGGTTAGTGATAATTTTTACTATTTCTTTTGTACTGGAGAGGATTCCTCTCTACCGATATCTATGTACCACTATTTACCTAATTTTGAGAAAATTAATTTTTTATTTGTTTTTTTTGTAGGAATACATAATATGAAATAAAAAATGGGAATAAAGAAAGGATATAGTGGTAAAGATTAATTTACAAAAGCAAAATTTATCATCATTGAAACCCATTATTCATTCTTTAAAATTCAAAATGGACAAGCAATAACTATATCTGTCTTCCACCTACTTTGATTCAACTCTTACAAAAAAAAGTTCAGACTCATGATTTGTACAAACACGTGGTTGGAAAAACACATTTGAACCTATCTCTTGAGATCAAGGGAGATATATAGCTACAATAACAATCGTAATATGAAGTACTTGTCTATAAATATCGTGTATGCAAATCTTAAATTCCACAATCTTCCCTTCATTTTTTTTCTTATAGAGAGCCAACAAAACATGAAGAATTTTCATATCCTAATATCACTCATTTTTCCTACCTTGTTTCTCTTCTCATGCTCTGTATCTCTTGTGCTATCTTTTTCCCCTCCTCATACTGATCTTCAAAATCAGTGCCTTGATGATCAGAAATCTGCTTTGTTGCAATTGCACCATGATCTGTACTATGCCCCAAATTTTACTTTCACTTCCAAAGTTGAGCTTTGGGATCCCAACACTGATTGTTGCTCTTGGAAAGGAATTACATGTGATGCTCTGGGTCACGTGATTGTGCTTGACCTCAGTTACAAAAACCTTTCCGGCAGCTTTCATTCCATTTTCAATCTCCATTATCTTCAACGCCTTAATCTTGCTGGAAACAATTTTAATACTACTCTGTTTCAATATGAGTTTGATAGATTCCCAAATTTAACTCATCTCAACCTTTCAAACTCATGTTTCCATGGCCAAATTCCAGTGGAGATTTCATACTTAAGAAGGTTAGTCTCTCTTGATCTATCTAATCAAGATTCTTGCTATCTACGGTATAATCAAATTCTTGATCCAAATATCTGGTGGTATGATCTTCCTGACAACCTTCAACAAACTCTGAAACTAGAAAACCCAAACTTCAAGTCATTAATCCAAAATTTGAGACCTCTTACAGACCTCTATTTGGATAGTGTGAACATTTCAACTCAAAGAAGTAAATGGTGTGAGACCATATCCATAATACTTCCTAACTTGCATGTGTTAAGTCTGTCGAATTGTGGGTTGACAGGTCCATTTTGTTCTTCACTCTCAAGACTTCCTTTTCTTTCCAAACTTTTCCTTGGTGGGAATTCGATCTCTTATTTGCCTCCCAATTTCTTGGAAATTTCCTCTCGTTTGGTTTCTCTCAGTTTAGTGAATTGCAATTTGAGTGGGCATTTTCCAACAAAAATTCTCATGTTCCCAAAAATAGAAAGCATTGACATTTCAGAAAATGACAATCTTGAAGGTCAGTTGCCAGAATTTTCATTAAACAATGCTTTACGAGTCTTAAAGATTTCTTCTACAAATTTCAGCGGAAAATTGCCAGAATCAATTGGTAATCTCAAGTTCTTGACAAATTTAATTCTTTTTGGTAGCAATTTCTATGGACAAATTCCATCTTCAATTGCAAATCTTACTAACCTTGTGGAACTGGATCTATCCTTCAATAATTTCAGTGGTTTTATCCCTGCATTTCATAGATCTGGAGTTCCAAATGTTACACATCTTTTTTTGCAGGGGAACCACCTCTCTGGATCAATACATTCTTCTGTATTTACTCTCCCATCATTGAAGGACTTGGATCTTTGTAAAAATCAATTGGTTGGTGAAATTCGTGAGATCCCCAATGCATCTTCTTCATTGATTGAAGGATTGTATTTAGGCTTCAATAGCTTTAGTTCCATGAAGCTTGACATGTTCTCCCAACTGAAGAACCTAAGGTTTCTTGACCTTTCAAATACGAGCTTGTCAATTGAAAGCAACATCACAAGCCTTGCTTTTCCCCAATTAGAGATACTGGAACTACACTCATGCAACCTTACTGAATTTCCAGAATTCATCAAAACACAAGACAAGTTGGCTTGTCTATATCTTCCTGACAACCAAATCCATGGTTTTGTCCCTAATTGGTTGTGGAAGACCACTCTTTTGGAGTTAGACCTTTCTTTCAATGCGATTGATTTTCCAACAGAGGTTCCTTTTGGTGATGCAAACTCCTCTTTTCCAATGTTGAGTCGGTTGGGTTTACGATTCTGTAACCTAAGTATGTTTCCAGAGTTTTTAAAGAGTCAAACCAGTTTAAAATATCTTGACCTTTCAAATAACAAAATAAGTGGTGCAGTACCAAACTGGGTGTGGAAGAAAAGTTTGCGAGATCTGGATCTTTCTAACAATTCTCTCTCATCTTTGGACCAATTTTCACTAAACCAATCTCTAACTTCTTCACAAGGCTCTTTATCAAGACCTATTTGCAATTTGAGTCAACTTCTGATCTTTAATGCATCCTTTAACAAATTCAGCGGGCCAATCCCAAGTTGCTTGGGCAATATCAGTTCTCTCGACACTTTGGATCTACAAAAAAATAATTTCAGCGGTAGCATACCAGATTTTGCAAAAGCAACCCAATTATATTGGCTACAACTCAATGACAATAAATTGGAAGGGAAATTGCCAAGGTCGTTAGCCAATTGCACAATCCTTCGAGTTTTAAACCTTGGGAAAAATGCTCTGTACGACACATTCCCCTTGTGGTTGGGAAAATTGCCTGCTTTGATGGTCCTTGTATTGCAAGCAAATAGGTTTTATGGTCCAATTAAACATGTGAAAAATTATTTTCAAGACTTGGATGTACTAGACATTGCTTTCAATAATTTTTCTGGTCAATTACCAATTGAATTCTTTCAAGCCCCTCAACTAAGGTCACTCAAAATTGGTGGGAATAAACTGGAAGGAAAGTTGCCGAGGTCATTAGCCCATTGCAAAAAGCTTGAAGTTTTGGACGTTGGAAAAAATATGATACAAGACACATTTCCTTTTTGGTTGGTGAAATTGCCTTCTTTAAAGGTTCTTGTACTAAGAGCAAATAGATTTTATGGTCCGATTAAAATTTCTGAGGATGAAAATGCTTTCCTAGAGTTACACATACTGGATCTTGCTTCCAATAACTTTTCAGGTGAGTTACCTGTTGGATTTTTTCAATCTTTGAAGGCAATGAAGATGATGATTGATGGCAACAAAGCTAAGCCAGATTATATTGGAGATTATTACTACCAGGACTCTGTGATAATTGTGAATAAAGGGTTTGAACTTTTTTAACAGAAAATTTTAACCATCTTTGCTTGTCTTGACCTTTCCAATAATAGTTTCCATGGGAGAATACCGGAAGAAATACAAAAGCTCAAGTCACTCAAAGTGCTAAACTTGTCCTACAACAGCTTCCTTGGCCCAATTCCTTTAGCACTTGGAAACTTAACTGAGCTTGAGTCGTTGGACCTCTCCCAGAACAAACTCTCCGGAAAGATTCCTCTTCAGCTTACAAGCCTAACTTTTCTTGCAGTATTGAATCTCTCTTACAACCAACTTGAGGGAAGCATACCACAAAGCTACCAATTTGGTACATTTTCAAACGATTCTTACGAAGGGAATCCAAGATTATGTGGGCTGCCTCTGACAAGGAAATGCAATGAAGATGGTCTTGGAATGCCACCCCCTAAGGAAGATGGAGATTCATGGGTAGATGGTTTGTCTGATTGGAAAATTGTGTTGATGGGTTATGGATGTGGATTGGTCATTGGATTATGTATTGGATATACAGTGCTGAATGAGTTGGGGAACAAATGGTTGGATAGGTTTATACAGAGTCGGAATAAAAAATGGAGAAGATCTTCTAGGTGACTCCATCAAAATTCAAGTTTCAATGTCATTTGGTAAGTATTCTAAAATACTTAATAACTCAAAAGTTTTGCTGTTGACTCTGAACTGTAGCTTAAACAAATAAAATTATTTAAATGCTCTCTTATATTGTCTTTTATCTGCACTAAATAATAATTTACTAAAGTGATTGTGTTTAAAATTTAATTCAAGAACGTTTCAACTTTTGATGCCTCTTTCCCTTTTTGAAACTTGGTAATGCTTTTCAAACTAAGAACAAAAATTGCCTGCAAACTAGGATGTCTTTTGAATTTCCTAACCTCATTTTACAAATGAAAATTAGCTTCCAAGTTATTAATTTGTATAAGACTTGTGGGTCACTGGTATTTTGAGTTGGATTGGGCTGTCGGCCATCTTAAGAGCAAAGCAAAGCTCTGGCATCTATTGTAATTAAATTAGATTGGCTTGGGATGCTCATATATATTTTATTTGGCAGGAGCACAATCAAAGGGTTTGGCAGGCCATGCAAAGATATAGAAGCTATTGTTTCAACTATCAGAAGTTCCTTTTAGCTTAGTTCAATAACAAGATTGCAGTCTCGAGTTCCACTCTTCCTCTTCAACAACAGAAATTGTGTCTGAATGTTTTTGGCTTGCTGTTACTGTACTTGTGTATCAGTTCATTCTCTCCTGCTCGCCTAAGATGATTGGCGGTATGTCTGGTTGTATTGTGCTTGTCTTCTGTTCTGTCTATGGGGTGGTGTTTTACTGCTGAGTTATGGGGTTCCCCTGTTGTTCACCCTATTGTGTAACTCTGTTTTTATCAATAATTTCTGGTTTAGCAAAAGAAAAATGTGTCTGAATTGGGGACTGGTTCCTCTATGTTGCTTAGTTTAATTAGTTTACTTTATTAGGTTGCTCTTTGACGTTTGTAAGGTCTTGATAGCCTACTGTTTATTTGTAGCAGGTCTACTGCTTTTTTTGGATTAATAAAAATCATTTATCCAAAAAATTTTCTTAAGGAAAATCTTATTATCTTTTAAGCTCTTCAGTATTATTATATCTAAGTGGTCATGTCAGCAATCACATAATAGGTTTTACACATGAAAGCCCAGTTTGCCACATTATTACCCAAGAGGTATAAAAAGTAAAATCAGACGAGTTAGGTGATTGACTACTCAACCCTCTTTACTCTCTTTAACTACTTCCTGCTCTTTTACATTTTCTTGCTTCTGGTGTATCTTACTATCTTATCTTGTGCGTCGGAGCATGCCTCAAAATAACATGTTCGGCACCCCTGACTTTCTATTCTGTGACAGGTCACACATACTCTCCTCTCAACCTCCAGTAGGACTTTCCGACTACCAGACAAGGAATTACATTAACACCAAGAATTACATTAACGAAATCAATGATTCCAACTCAACTATTTGCATTGCAGGAATCTGATACAAGCCATGGCATGTACAAAAATGACTATGCCTACTACTTAACTGCCAAAACTAGAAGTTTACATCTGCTAACACAGAACAATCTTTACAGACCAAGCTCAAGCTAAGATGCTTTATTCCTGTATTAGCCACTACATCACTACACAGAAAAAAAAAAAAAAACAGTGAAAAGAAAAGAACAAAGCTTCCAGTTCCAGGTATAAAGCTCGACGAATCCAAACGATACTATTTTATTGCCCCCAGTAACTATAGATTTGACTATGGCGAGAGAGATTTAAATATTTCCTTTATTATTTTCTTAACTTTAATCCCGTATCATCCTTTGTTTTTCTGCTTCTGCACTCCGACATAGACAAAAACAAATGGTTTGTTGTAAGCTCTATTGCTATTGCTATATGATTGATATCCATGTAGAATAGACCTTCACTAAACAAAAACATGTGTGCAATACAAAGAAACTTTTAACAACATGATAGTTATGTGAATGCCATTCTTGAATTATTATGTGGACTTGATTAATTGATTTAATTTTATATTTAGAAAAGGTAGTGGTAAAATCTTTGTTATGAAAATGAGCATCCAGTAATTTTCTTATGATTTTTTCCCCTTAATCACATCCCTTATTCCTGGTCAAATTGAGTTTATGCATATATAAAACTTAATTGTTTCCAATAAAATGGAGTAACTTCATCGTTTGAATTTTCAGGCCAATGATTTAAGAAGATACTAGGAAAAGAAAGCATGGATTGCCAGAATACAGTTCAGAAAAGGATATGATTTCTGAGTAAAAGCTTATTCAGCGTATCTGTTTCTTACAAAACTGATGTTTCGGCTACATTTTTTGTCCAGTCAGAAGCAAAAACAACCATTGTGTTTAGAAGTGAAAACCATCCAAGGTAGGACAGAGAAAATTTGTATCAGGCACCAAAGCAACACTTTCTACCACCAGATCAGGATTATCAATGATTCAACACAACTATTTGCAGTGCAGGAAGATGATACCAGCCATGGCATGTACGACAATGAGTAGGCCTACCACTTTAATTGCCAAAACAAGAAGTTAAATTGCATATGCTAACACAGAATAATTGTTGACACAGACCAAGATCAAGCTAAGATGCTTTCTTGCTGTATAAGATGCTACATCACCATAAAAACACTGAAAAGGAACAGAAGAAAGCTTCTGATTCCAGGCATCAAGTTCGACAATTCCAAACTAACTTTGATAGTGTTTAATTGTCGTAACAACTATAGAGGGTAAACAAGGAAACAAAAGGTCATCCTTAAAATTTGATGAGTATACATCTGCTGTTAAGAGCCAAAGATTACAATTTCTTGAGTTTAAGTTTAGGTTTGGTAGCTGATTTCATTATTTTTTTTTTGTCTTAAATGCAGGAACTGTTTTTTCAAGGAAGAAAACTGTTCATTAAAGCTTTCTATGCTTTGGACTTGGACAGCACAAAAAATCACAGCTTCTATTAGCTGTCCCTACCCAATTGAAACTATTCGCAATCCTACAGCCTTAAACTCTGTGAAGTAACATCCTTCCTAGATCATGACCCTACCAGTATGTGTCATCTAGACATGGATTCTGATATGATCAAGCTGAATTCTTGGCCATTGTGAAGGTGGTGAAGTTGGAAGCTGATTCTTGGAAAGTTGATACTGCATTGCACTGCTACCTCAAGGTAGAAATGTTACTTCATGGGCAAAAGGCAGCAGTGGCAGCGTGACACAGAAACAATACTTACCTAAATACTAATGCACATTCCAGCAGCAACAATGATTTTAAAGAGCTTATCACTGCATAATCCAAAATTCCCCGAAAATCTAGCTGAGAAATACATTTTGGTCGATAAGGTATGCAGACAAGTAAATCTTTCCACTACAACGGTAAAACAAAGAAATATAAATGTTAATGGCGGCAGGAGTTGAAGCAAAGCATCAATGGACTTATCATTTACCCTCTTCAGCCATCTTTCTACGTATCTCATGAGCAGTATTGAAAATGCCAAGGGTGGGTTGGTTGCACATAAAGCACTTGTTGTTCTTTGTGTGATGCTGAAAAACCAAAAGATGCAGTTGGTTAGTTTACATTTGAATGAGAATAAAAATGTCAATTATACTGACATGAGGCACCAAAAGTTGATGATGTAAAGTTAAAATATGTCCTATTTCTATAGCTGAAAAAAGTTGGACCACATAAAATATTCTTTGTATGTAAGTAACCAAAAAAGTTTTGCATCTAAGTGATGCATTAACAACAAACATAACAAAAACTAATAGATGTTAACCTAGCACAAAAAAGACACTAAAAAAAATTAATCCACGTGAAAAGGCATTGAGGGCACCTTTAAAGCACAATGCTGGCAGAAGTAGTACTTGCACTTCCACAAAAGGTTGCCAGCAACTAAAACATGCAGAGGGCAACGAATCATCATCGTCATCATCACTCTGGTCTACCCCTGCCTCATCATCATCATCATCGCCACCCAAAGCCAGATTTCTCTTCCTTGCTTTCTCTGCTTCTTCCCGGTCCTTCTCTAACTGCCATCCAGACTTGTAATCTCCACGATCATGCATAAACGTACATGAATCTCCGTAACCACAGTAACCAGTTTCTTTGTAGTCTTTACCGATGTCAGGCTGATAATCAAATCTTGCTGAAACCCTGATGTGGGCAAAAGCCCTAAGAGGTCCATGTAAGCCACCTGCTTTCTCACTGGCAACTGTTTGCTCTCTTCGAAACCCAGCCTTATGATCCACATAGCCATGCCTTCCTTCATACAACTTCTCCCCCCCAGAGCTTGTGTTTTTCCCCTTCAAAGCCTCCTCTGTTCGTTTAAAAACTTCCTCGCGTATCGCGCGAGCATCTTTTGTAAACTCAGTCTCAGTTTCTAAGGTTGCCATAGCTCTGCTATCATTTTGAACTTGAATTTCCTTCGAAGACTCAAATTGAAAAATCGGTTTGTCAGATTCTGTATTTGATTCAGTGGGAGTAGCACTCCTGGAGGATCCAGTTGAAAAGACTAACTTATAGTCAGGCTTCAAAGCGTTTTTCTGATTGTGAAACAAAGATGTGCCATTTCTGGAGTCTTCATCTTCATCTTCATATTCATTTATTGTCCTTTTCCTTATGGTTTTTTGCCCTTTGTTGGCTTCCTAAAGAAATTGCAAACGGAAAAGTCAAAGAGTTAGCTATATAAGTAAATATACATATACACCTTTAAAAAGAATTAAAAAAAAGGAACAAATTTTACCTTGCTCAGATTGTTGAGGTTCTGTTTCAGATTGCTGAGGTTCTTTTCCTGGATACTGGGGCTCGCTTGAATCAGTCATCTTAACAGAAACAAGAGAAAAGGTTTATAGATTCCTTGCCTCAAGCAAGATGAACTTCAATTCTCATTCACGACTGTTGCTCCAATCACTTGAAAGAAGGTTTTAAACTAAGTGAGTGAAAATCCTTATTACTATTAATTAAGGTAATGAATCAAACGTGATCAACACACTAACTGGTGTCATAATTAAATTTCCATAGATAAGATCAAGCATTCTCTCATGAAAAGGCTAAATGCTCAATTTTATTACCCAAATCATAAATTTCTATTGATGTAAGAAAAAGAAGGAATTAAATTTTTTATCCAAATAACAAATATTTACAGTACTCACCTGAACAAGAAAGTCTAAAACGCCCAATACATTTAACTTTTACCCACGATTGACTAATCCGAATTGAAATTACCCAACAAGAAGAGATCGTCCTTCATCAATTAATTCCTTTCGATCATCGGATTTGGGATTTTTTGAAATCAGAATTGGAATTGGATAGGAATCGACTGAAGGATTGAAGAATTGGGTATGAATCGACTGAAGGGATTAAAGAACGAAGGAGTAAAGGAGGAACCCAAAACGCCAAATTCTTTTATCAGGCTTTCGGATTCTTTTTCGGCCTTCTTACTTGTTTTGAAAATCAGTCAATTTTTTGTCCAAATTGCACACGTAGACAAAGCATGCCACCTCACCTGAAAATTACACGTCCTCTACATAATATTCTGGCTCAGCAATTAAAAGCACGTGTAGTACACGCGAATAATTCCTTCCCATGTTGGCAATGCCCATCGGAATAATCTTTTGCACCAATTGGACTTTTGTGTTGGTTGTCCTTTCAAACTAGCTTTGACCAAAGCGCAAAAAAGTTGCTTCTTCTAAACTGCTAAATTTCTTCAATAAAAGAATTTTCGTTTCTGATGACTTTGTTTTTATTCAAATTCGATGAAAAATCTAATCTTTTTATCTGAATAAGAATAAAAATATGTATTTAAAATTTTAAAATAAAAACGAAAATAATATAATTTTAAATTTTTATCGAACATAATAACAAAATTTTTTTAGTTTTTTAAGTTGTAAAAATGGGCCGTTCAACCCATTAACTCCCCCACAAAAATAAAAATGAATATAAATTTAAAATATATATAATATAGATATAATGTAAAAAATTAAAAATGAGAATAAAAATTGTTGTATCCATCCCATTGACATCCTTTATTTCAGCATTTGGTATAAGCTTCAATTTTCTGCGCTGCAATGTCTTGAAGGGTAAACAAAGATCAAGAAGAGAAAGTTAATCAAATTGACCGGCTTTCAACTCCTTGATGATATTATAATCAATATACTGCTGAAGATACCAGTCAAATCTCTCTTAAACATTCAAATGTGTAATGCAAGCCACGGCGGTCTTTGATCTCTGACCCTCAATTTCCCAAAGTGCACCTCAAGTGAGCGCTCCATGGAGCAATGTGCAATCCAATAACAATGACTTATCATTCCATTCTTGTTGGTAAAGTTATCTATCAAACTCACCTGGTAGCCACAAGACAAATATTTTCTGTCAAACAGACCTATCAACAAAGACCCTCAAATTCTTCATATTATGATTGTTGAAAGATTTAAGATGATAATCCTCGGTTTAATTAAAGCTAAACATGTACAAAACTTCCAAACGTTTACAATATTAACTTGTTGATATGGTTTATAAGATCTTTCTGTGTAGAATTTAAAATATGCTTACTACATCACAAAGACACCTTAAGAAACAAACCAGCCATCCACACCTGCCTTCAATATTTAAGTGAGCTTAAATGGTTACAATTGGTATCACAGATTCAGAGAAAATATTTTTCCAATATCCAAAGGTTAGAGTCCTAGTCATTTTCATTAAATTTTAGGTGATCAAATTCCTTTTAACTGTCTCTTGAGACACAACAATGGCTAGCTGACAATTTCTTTTTATTTTTTTCTATGTAAAAACAGCTCAATCAGCATGCATATCCATTTCCACTGGTTACTCCTAAATTGTTTCATATAGCCCACCTGTGGGGTAAGAACCTCTTATAATTTCACATAAATTGTTCTCAGTAAATGATTCATTGATCCAAAAGCTCATGTCTTTGTAACAGGGAGGATACTGCAAAAACCGTTGAGGAGTCAAGTCACGCTTCTATAATAGGTATTAAATAACAAAAGTAATATACAGTGGAAAGGGTTAAAAGAAACCATTTGCTTAATTTATACCTTCGAAAAGGGTTTAAACTTTACCCCCATTTGGCCTTCGGAAAACAGCATTCAAGTAGCTTAATCAGACTTACGCGGAGATATTAAATTAGGAATCGATGAACTTCAACACTCAAATCATGGAGCTACATTCAGAGGCTACCTGTGAGTTAAATCGCTCATCAGTTCACCAAAAAAGACGAATATCTGGTATGTCAAATAAAACCATTGCTAGCCGCTCCAATCTAAGTCCAAAGGCCCAACCAACGCTGTTTAATCTACCATTACTTTTCAATATTTCTTGCTCCATTACCCTGCAACCCAAAACCTCCATCCATTTCTCCTGACAATTGTGTAGGTCACTGCTAAGTTATACTCGGTGCTAAAGTTATCACATGCAATAACCGTTCATTTAAAAAGATTCATATTGAACAGGAATCAATAAAAATAAAAGTGAGGGCTAACAACACAGAGTACAAACATGTAGGTAAGGTATTATAAACGTCCAAATCTTGATTTATCTTAATAGAATTTATCATTACAATAATAAGCATAGTGTTCACCCCTAAATTTGGCTGTCAAACAATCATAAAAGAATTTTTTGACAAAATGACCATAAGCATTGCAATAAAGCAAGGGAAAAAGGCAAAAAAATGAATCAAGATTCTTCCGACTGAATAACTCGATCTTAAAGAAAATACTAACAATATCCTCTAAAAAGGATAAAGAGAATACCTTGAAATAGATTTCTAGCTTCATAAGGACTGGTAAATGGGAAATAGGCATTGATCCAACGCATCTCCACTGGAATGTTAACAGAGTGAGGCTAATTGGCTTCCACATATAGCAGTCCTTACAAAGTACATTATCAACCCCTGATGCTAACACATCATGATTAACTTTATAAAATTTTGCAAGTGATATGAATTTATAGCAGCTGGTTAGATACTTCTCCCAATAAAAAGTTTTGCGTAAAATACATTTAGATCCTTGAGTTTAAGTATAATTCAACTCAGGTGTGAACATCCTGCTTTTTTATTAATAAGACACTAAGATCTTTCAGTCAGTTAACTCCATTAAAAGATTCATTAAAAGATCATTTTACCTTTAAAAAATCAATATCCTTAAATATTCATATAAAATAATTATTTATAATAATAAATTTTTTTAAAAAATATATAAT